TCCTGCCATGTGTCTCATTAACCCCAGCAGACCGGCCCCATATGCTTCGAACACCGGGAGACGTGGTTTTTAACGGGGTAAAGACAGGGTGGACACCGAGGGACACATACAGTACGCAGGCTTTTGGTTTCCATCCAAACATCAGAACAGAAACTCACCTTTCCACCCACTACCATTATGTGAGCATTAGGAGCTGTCAAGATAAAACAGCTGAGCCGTTAAACCAGAGCAAACGAACCTGCAAAACTCAAACTGTGGATTGAAGCAGAAAAGCTGATGCTTCCACTTCACATTTTGTTTTTGACACACTAAATTTTCTACAAGCAGAAAAGTGTAAAAGTTTCTTGTGATATTTGAAGATTTTTTTTAAATATCTGCCGTTTCCACTCAGGTTTTTCATGTACAAATTGAAAATGCAAATAAGTCACCGCATGAGGTGATTTAGTGCAAGTAATGGAGCTTGCATAGTCTCACTATAGTGTGGTGACACTGCATGTGGTTCCTACCTGCCCTTCACCTGTGAAGCTGAAAACAGACTTTGTTTCCTGTCTAGTATTCTCTCACTGAATTGCCTTCATAAAAGATTCCGTCTCCTCTTCGCTGCAGGTAAAAAGCAGGAAGTGAAGCAGACCTCCCGAGCTGAGAAGCCCAGTCGGTTCTCAGGTGACTGAAAGGTGAGACAAACACAGGTGTGAGGAGGGGTCAGAGAGGACAAAGCACCAAGAGTCTGAGAGGTGGAGGAGGTGCTGATGAGGGTGAAACCAATGTTGGAAAAGCCAGGAGGATGAACGGGGCGAACACGGTGATAAACTGTACTAAGTGGTACGAGAGCGATGGAGGACGAAACCCAGAGTGTACAGAGGGGAGTTATATGTTATACTCTGACTCCCCCACGTAGTGTACTGTTCTACTGCAGTAATATTCACCCAGAACGTCGTATACACTTTTACTTAGTTAAGGTTTTGAATACAGTATTTTACACTGTGGGAGTAGCACATATAAATCTGTCCTCTCTAGTCAGTCATCTCATGACCCCTCAGATTTATCTGGTGACCCTTTGGGGGAGCCCCACCCTTAGGCTGAGAACCACACTGGACCAAACTAAGTGAAATAATTTCAACTGGCTCCAGCAGTAAAGTAAACTGTACTATTGTTAGATCATACTTGTGCAATTTGACTTCAGCAGAGTATTTTGAAACCATGGTATTGGTACTTTTACTTCCACCGCCGCAGAGATGAAGATAAATCGAAGCTGAATGTAAAATGGTTGACATGCGGAGGTGTGAGGAGAGAGGGAGGCTGTGGAGAAAAAGCAACCGAGGTCGAGAGGAGGACAAACCTGACAGTGGATCAAAGGAAGGATTCAGAGGGGAGCGCACGCCGCCAGGCTGAACCTCTGCTTGTTACGTTAACTCATCCCAGATTCAACCAGCTGACACACAGTGAGCAAACACTTTTACCACAAATCCCCTTTAAAAATGAGCTCTCTGAAAACAGCGAAGGAGAATCTAACCTGTGAACCTCCACTGTGATGTTGGGTTCTTTTACTATTTAACAGCTGCTGAAGGATTCTCTTCAACTCACAGAGCTACAGTAGCGTTAGCTTAATGAGCTACGGCAGGTGAACTCTGCAGCTGTAATCTTCGGCCTGCTGGGTCGATGGTCTTCAGCCACGAATGAGACCCACTGGTCCAAAAATAAATATGAAGAGCTGAATGTGGCACCATGACCAGTACAGATGAGAAGCCTGACAGGCAGCAAACGATTGTCGCCTGCAAAACCTCTATGGATGGGGAAGCTATTCTGATCACTACTCAAGTTACTCTCCTAAAGTTAAGAGGTTCATGCTGTCACCTCAGAGCAAGAAGGTTCCAGGTTTGAATCCGGGGCCTTTCCTCCGGCTTCCTCCCACAGCCCAGAGACATGCAGGTTGTTGTCCCCCCGGGCATCCGGTGCCAAATCACACAGGGCGGAGTGCTCAGCTGTGGCGACCCCCACTCACCAGGGAGGAACAACACCTCTCCTCAAGTCATCATGAAATCCCTCTGCTTAGTCATGCCCTCATTGATAGATTAGGGTGGACAAAATAACAGAAACAGCAGAAACCCCGGCCTCTACAACGACTACACAGTTGAATCAACCCCTCCATTTGAACACAGACTGAATGTGACCACCTCCGTGACGGAGGAGTTGCTGCAAGACTTCATTAGCTCTGAGGTGGACCCACAGTCAGGGTCACTTTGGTTTCAAGGTCACTTTCAAACCAACTGCAAAAACAAAGACTATGTTTATAGTCTTTCTCTAGTTACAGGCTTGTAAAAGTGACTGATGACTTTAATTAAAGGCTGGGATCCTGTGGGGAGCTGACAGACAACTAGAGCGCCCTCTGTCAGGCCGGCAGGGCTGTGGCACTGCCCTCAAGGCCCAGCGGCTGATCAGACCTTGTTTATACTGTTGGCTCAGGTCCATGATGCAACATGCAGCTGCTGGCTGCACAATGATATGATGCCCAGACTCGGAGAAGGATCTGAAATTAGAAGGCAGACTAGCTGTGTACACAGGTGTGCATACGATCCTGTAGCTGGGACAGAGCCATAGCTCTTACGTGAAACCATAAACAAGCTCCCAGCTCTTTCTGTATCAAAGGTGACTTGGCATTTGTGCGGTGCAGCCACTTCATCAGCAGGCCCGAGGCTCCGAGTTGCTGCTGTGCTGACAGAAAGCGATAAAGCTCCTCTGGAAACCAGCTGCAAAAAGTGAAGCACATTTGCAGCAGACTGGTTCTGTAACAGAGTGACTGCTGAGACGTACCTCTCTACTTGTTACACACACTGAGGCCTCTGTCAGTGCAGGTTAGGTCCGACTGGCTGCTGCAAGTAATGTGCTGCGACCCAGAGCGACTTCCACAGTGACTTAGCCTTGGCCAGGGCAGCTTCGCAGGTCTGCTCGGTGCAGATTAGCGAGTGGAGCTGCTGCTACTGAGGGCAGCTGCTGAAGTTAGAGCAAAGGAGCAGGCATTTAATTAAACTCCCTCCCCTCGCCACCATTTGGGGAGGGGAGGGAGGCCAGATCTTATATGATATGAAAAAGGCCCTCCTGCATTATTGTTTTATTTAGACCATAAACTTGACTTGGAAAAACTGGAGCCCCACCCTCCATTCAACTGCTGCTGCTGATCCAGTTCTACAGAGGAATCATCCAGTCTGTTCTCTGCACCTCCATCACTGTCTGGTTTGGCTCAGCCACCAAACAGGACAATTACAGACTTCAGCAGACAGTCAGGACTGCAGAAAAGGTCACTGGTGTGAGCCTGCCCTCCAAAGGAGGGTGGAGAGGATCACTGCAGACCCCTCACACCCCGGATACAAACCGTTTGAACTCCTCCCCTCTGGACGGTGTTACAGGTCACTGTGCACCAAGACAACCAGGCACAGGGACAGTTTCTTCCCCCAGGCTGTCGCTCTGATGGACAGTTAACCAACAACAGTATGACTGGACAATAACCCTCAGTGCAACACCTGTAAATATACATTATACAGATTATACAGACTCATAGAGGTCTCTAGTTTAAAGTACTCTGTTTTTATTCCTATTTTTATCTTGTTTCCTAATGAACATTCCTTTGTCTGTCTGAATCATTTACTGCCTGTTTATGCTGTTTATTTAGTTGAACTACACAGCTTTATATTGGCATACTGTTTACTGTCTCCTTACATAAGGATATGTACATGCACATCGAGAGCCACTGTGATTCTGATTCTACTGAACACAAGGCAAAACATACCCAACAGCTCCTTGGAATTAAAACACAAACATGTCGTTTGTCCAGTCATTTCTGACCTCGTCATTTGTCTGTGCCCTTCAGAGCAGCTACAAAAACTCAGTTTTATGATGCAACACTGCTGCTGCTGTAGTAACACTGTGGTTAGGGTCAGAGATGGATCGTGGTGTGGGTTCAAATAAATCCTTTAAGGTTTGGGAAACATTGTGCCTTGCATTAAAATGGCTGCTTCAACCAACAATACACCCTTAATTATCGTTTTGTACCCACAATCAGAGTTTTGTGACGTTGATAGGATTTTTCCTACAAAATTCATGTTTAAAAACATTTTCTGCTGCGGTGTAGCTTGTTTCTGTTCCATAAGAAGGTCTACTTTGTTCAGTGACCCCCCCAGTAACAATAGCATTCATTGGCTTCATTATTGTTGTGGGATGAGCAAAGGTTTACAGTTTTTCAGGCTACGCTCCCTTTGGATCAAGGAGAACAGAACTCTCTTCCTTTTATGATCTGTGTTTGTTGGTGCTGCTGCTGTTTGACACTGTTACCTGAGCTGTGCACATTGTTTGTGGGCTGGTTCAGCCTGTGGGGGTCTCAGGGTTTTCGTAGGCTGCTCAGCCTCGTGTCCGTGCTGCACCAGGCGCTGTGCATTTCACGCTCCCTGCCTTCCATGTCAGCAGCGAGCCTCACACACATGCACATGCACACACTCAGAGGACATGCCCCCCTCCAGGCTGCCTGCCTTTGTGCTTGCATCTTGAGGCTTCTGCTCGCCTGCCGCTCTGCACTCCAACTTTTTCCTTTCTGCTGTGTTCTCTATTGTTTCACTGTTCCTCTGTCTGCCTCTCTCTTCTGCTATTGGCCCGTGTGCCAACTCCCATTACATCTTTGTGCGGACAAGCTCATTCTTTCTTCTTTCAACATGCAGCATACACCTGCCTGTCAAGGATGGAGGGGGTTACTGCCATGCAGCTCGCCAGTCTGTTCGCTCTGTCAGTGGTGCAGCACACAAACCAGAGATGATTCATCAATGGACCGCAAACACTCATGGATGCCAAGAAGTAGAACGCGTTCTCATACACGGTCACAGCATGGGAAAGCAGAAAGCAGCTCAACTTTGACAACTTACTTTCTATCTCATCTGTTCCTTCTGCTTACTCCCTTCAACACAGACATGTTTTCTCATGCACCTCAAACACTTCTCTTCCATACCAACTCTTACCATCAGCGTGGGGATGGCTGTGACCAGCGAGTAGATCAGCACCGGAGGGATCTTGCTGGCGCTCTCTGGCCCAGGGTAGGGCTTAGAGAAGCTCTTGTCATAACAGAAGAAGCCCTGGATGTGCACGGGGAAGGTGTCGGTGTACTCGAAGTAGTAAGCCAGCAGCACCGTCCCAGCCATAATCACCAGCTGGAAATAGAACATTATCTCTCCGTTAGAAAGCCAGAGGATGAGAGGTGAAGCAGAGAAGGGAGAGGCGGAGCTGGAGGATGAGGAGGAGGAGGAGGAGAGGAAGAAGAGATGCATAGGAAATATGAGAGAGACAGAGGGAGAGCAAGACGGAGAGAGAGGACGACAACAGGGTAAAAACGAGCCACCACAGAATAAATGATCCTCATGAAATCTACTACAGTCAAGCTGTGGGTGTATTTCTGGATGGGGTGCAGAGAACGTGAATGTGTTTCTGCACACACATTGTGCTCACTGTCAGCTGACTGAAACACACACTTGTGTCTGTGATGGAAGGGAGCAGGTTGTCACCGCCACCAGAACATGATAGAACCATACTGGCATATAAATTATGTGTTGATAAATTACAAGTAAAAAACAGAAGTGGCAGAACGTCTTCCCCCAGTGATATGTAAATGCTCCGGGCTGCTGACCTCCTGCTGTACACACACACTCGGTCTTTCTTTCCTTTGGACTTTCAAAAGCTTTTGGCCGTGCATCATGTTTCTGATCTTTAAATAGCAGAACTAGTGGGTAACAACTAGTTTGGCTTTTAATTGCCCTGTTACACAGTGATGTCAGGTAGGAAAGGGGGAGGTCTGAGAGCGACGGAGGTGAGGGGCCTCTCTGCCCGCTACTGCAGAGAACAGTGATGTACTCAAGTTCAGGGGTTTTATTACTTAAAAGTCAGAACCAATAAAAAGTTTGTTTACAACCTTTTGTTTGTTTTTTTTTCAACAATATCACTTGCTTTATTTTGAAAAGACAGGAAATCGATAAACTTCCAGTAAGCTTCCGCCTCTACTTGTTTAGGTGCGTGATAAAACTTTTATTTATTTTTTTTAATTGAACAATTATATTTACAACAAATGTGGCAAACATTAGTATTCCATAACATTAATAGAACAGGTGCAATAATAAAGAACAGAACAAGAGAGGAAGGAGAGAAAAATAAAAATAAATAAAATAAGGTTAAAAAATAAGATTTAATTACGAGTGAGAAATTAGGGCTTTGGTATTAAATTATACTCTTCAATTAAATCAAAAAGTATTGTCGCGTTTTTGGTTTTCATTAGACTTTGACAAAAACAAGAAACTCATTGAGAAACCTACAGAAACAAGGTGCAATTTTCATATTCTTAGCTTTATTTATATGGAATTCCCCCAAAATGATGATGATGATGTTCAGAAAGTCAGCGTTGGCATTGTCCATCAGGAGTCTGTAAATAATGTCTTTTTGGGTGAAGTCATTTAGGAGGTGAGTCTTTGATTGGAGCCAAACAAAAACCTCATGCCAGAAGTTCTTCACAAACAGTACAATGGAAAAAAAGATGTTCTGCATTTTCATCTACACAGTTATTGGATTCTGTTTACAAGCTTATTAGTGAAGCTAGAAGGATTAGCATCTGTGTAGCTAACACTAGCTTAAATCAGTTTGGTAACGTTAGTGTCCACATGTGATTACATTTAGCTTGAAATATGAGACTTTATCTCACTTTTAATGTCACGGCACAAACAACACGACATCATCTATAGTGGTAGGTAGCTACACAACCATAATGCTGATAATGGCCTGTGCTTTTTTAGCAGTAACTGTTCAGAGCCATTCTTTAACTTCTCCTCGATACATCCTAGTAGTTTCTGCTGTTAGTGACAGACTCTGCCATTCTCACACTGGATTGGCTCCAGTGCTAGTGATCACTCCTCCTCACTCTCCTACAGCTGAATCCCAAGTTCATGCTAATGCTAACACAACGTTTCTAACTGCTGCTGCTTCAACAGCAACAAAAGCCCTGACTGGCCGGCCTTTGTGAGCGGCAGGAGTCCAGCCAGCTCTGCTGCTGCTCTGTGGACTTTCATGCTTAGACATCTTTGAATGAAGAAGTCATAAAATAAACACACACTGCAGCACACTCCTCAGAACTGCAGTGACACAAAAACGGACAAATTCATCAAACCAGACCCAACACGACTGTTTGTAATGTTTTCTCTCTGCTGAAGCTACATCTAGCTTTTGTGTGCCACTCATGGCAGCACCACCAGCTGCAGACACGGGGCTGGTGAATCATTTCATTGTTAAACAGTGTAAGCGAACAGTTGCCTGTTCACACAACATCAGCAGTCAGGATGAGAGACTGAAGCTGTGGGTCGGTGATGATCTGCACACAGCTCTTCTCTGATCTGACTCAGACATGCAGACTGGTCACAGAGTGGCCCCGGTCGGCTGCAGAAGCTTCCTGCTATGAGGGGCCAGCGGGTGCTGCCCCAGTTTGTATAGTAAGTACTGTATGTGTGCACAAACAGCCAACAGCTCAGACAGTGTATAGAGAGCCTGGTGAATTTACCATGGGGTTTTCCCCACCGTTTACTTCTATGAAACCAGCCTTTGTCTGCACCTCGCTCCAGGCCTGTGTGTTTTGCTGTCCGTGGTTGTCATGGTGAAGAAACGGCCGAGGAGCCAGGTTTATAATAATAATCTGTATTTTTAGTATTTCCGTATTAGAAGTGTGTATTTCTAAGGCTGCCAGTAAAATTCCTGACCAGAAATCATGCAACTGTGTGTGTTGGAGGTGGGGGGCTACACACACACCTGATGGGAGCTCTTTGGTGGGTTTGCTCGGGGCGAGAGGGGGTGTTTGAAATGTGTGACTCATGAAGCTGTCCCCTGTGTTCCTCCCCCGCATTTAACCAGCATATTGTAACCGGCTCTGACTCATGCTTGGAAGGAGCGCCAATAAAAATCAGCAGTGCACTTATATTCCTGTGGTTAACACACCTCCCCAATTTCTGCTGTGAACCATGAAAAGGACTCTGGACTCTGAACAATGTTTTATGGTGGAGCGTTTGCCTCGAGCTCCAGCACCGAATTTTACAGTAACCTTACAATCCACATGTCCAGCCAATAGAAGCTTTGCTGTTTTGGGGAGACATCTGTTGTGATTTTGGCTTGTTCTCATCACCTTTACATCACACAATGCTAGAGAACTGGAAGAATCAGCGAGAACAGTGAACACTGAACCACGACACTGTGGGTGAATATGAGGCTTTGGAAAGACGGAATGTGGTGTTAGAAAATAATTAAAATGGAAAAAAAAAGAGCTACTGCAAATATTTATTGGAACCTGAGGACAAACTTCATGAAAAGATCTTTTTCCAAACTACATCCAGTCTTCAGCAACTTAATAAAGAAAGTTCATTAGCGTTTAACGGACACAGTGGGACACAGCAAGCTCTGTCCTAAAGAAACCTGACTTTACCCAGACTGAGCGCTGGAACAAAGGAAACCATTTTCACAGACTGTGACCGTCCTGCGACCCTCGGGGCCTCACAGCAGATGCTACAGAGACCTGGTGAAGTTCCTCTGGCAGGCGGAACCTGTACTTTTAGACAGTGGGAAACTGAAAATGAAAGCTTTAAAAACAGGCTGTAGCTGCTCACAGTGCGACTCAGATGATCTCCGTCAACCTCTGTGATCAAATAGACCCAGGGCCTTTCTGTCCAGAGTCTCCATGTTCTCCCTGTGTGGGTTCTCTCTGGCTTCCTCCCATGGTCCAAAGACATGCAGCTTAGGTTGACTGGCACCCGTAGGAGTGAGTGTGAGTGTGTGTGGTTGTTTGTCTACATGTCAGCCCTGTGACGGACTGGGTGGACCCCACCTCTCGCCCAATGTCAGCTGGGATTGGCTCCAGGTCCCTGTGACCCTATTCAGGATAAGCGGTCTAGATGATGGATGGATTAAACATATTATTTATAAATGTCGTCATGTTCATACGTCATTATGTTTATGTAGTTTTGGTTCTTTGGTTAAAAAGCCAATAACAATAGTTAAACATGAAAGGAAAGTTGAGTTTTCGACATAAATACTTGTGCGTGTCTACAACTCCCAGGTAAACACTGGCGATCACACTGACTAGCTTAAGCTTAAGGCAGGACACATTCAACAAGTAGCTGAAACCAACAGACTGGTCAGATCACACCTATGGACTCTTTCCACCACTGTGCACAGCCTGTTGGTCCTTGTCAGTCGTAACACACTGTGCGACTCAGCGAGCTCTGTCGACAACACACTAAGGACCTTTGTACTCACCAGTCGTGACTCGATTGTTAATTTGCTGTACGTCTCCCTCAGTCACACAAATCAAACCTGTCTAAGAAATTCTCTCTGAGAAGGCAGCCACAGGGTCTGAAGAGTGTTCGCATGACTTTATCTACCAAATCAACAAGCTGGCCTCTGTTAGTCACGTCTGACTCCTGTTCAAGATCAGTGCAGCAGTCGTGCCACTGGCACGCTGCTTCACTGCACCTGCGATGGTATCTTCCTCACATTCTCATGGCCTCCCTCACACACTGCCTCCCCCTTTTTCCTCTTTGTCTTTTGTCTTTCTCATCAGTAAAGATCTGCCGATTCCGAACAGGAATCAACCTGCCTCCTGAGCCACAGCTGCCCCTCACAGCTCTAGATATCCACTCTTGGTGGATATCTTATGCATCTTTCATTAAACCCTGGGCCTCTATGAATCGGCTGCCTTCTGGGACGATTACATTGTCTCTGAGTTGTTTAAGATGAGGAACAAATGTGGAGACAACAATCAGGGACAAGTTGTGGAGGAATGAATAACAGAGACACCTGATCAGTGCAGGCGCTGGAACATAAATGTGTGTTAATCGAGTCAACAGAGGGTGTGATGGTATAAAGTCTGGAGACGTGTCACTGAACATGAATTAAACTGAGATGATTCCTCAGAGAACAAGGAACTTTCAGACACATGGTGAATCCCCACGACAAGCAGCAGCTCAGACTCAGACTCGTCTCGTTTCCCTCTCAGAAACCCTCCTGGTCTCAGCCGGTCCTGGCACTACTCACTCCTTTCTCTAACATGTCCTCCACCTGCCCTCTGACACGCTGTACACTGAATATTTCACACATCTACCTCTAAATTTCAGTTGCAGAGACTCAGACG